CCTTCCTTCCTTCTTCCTCATAGCAGGCTGGGGAATTCTGGGAGTTGAAATCCACCCATCTTAAAGAGGCCAAGCTTGGGAGGTGCTGCCTTAGAAGGAGGTCGAAGGAAGCCACTCCAAATGGTCATTTGACCTCCTGACCCCAAGAGGGCTCACCCTCCAGGAAGCAGCTGGGGGAGGGTCCCAGGCCAAGCCCATCTGGAGGGGTGGCAGGGCAGGGCCCAAGGCCCAAGGCGGAGGAGGGGAGCTATGGCTGGGGGAAAAGGGGAGGGAGGGTCCCCAGGGGCAGGGAAGGCCAAGCCCCCTCCCCAGCGCTCCCTCTTCCCTGAAGGAGCTGCGCCCCAGCCCAGCCCCCCCTTTGAGGCTCTTACCCCGATGGTGGAGGCCATGTAATCCGCACACATTTCTGCAAAGTCGCGTTCCAGGACTCCGTAGTAGAGGCCGTAGAACAGGAGGGAGATCCCAAAATCCATCCCGTCTTCCGGTTTAATCCTGCCAGGGATGGGGTGTGTGGGGGGTGAAGAGACTTTAGAACCCTTTATGCAGCTTTCAAGGCAGGCTTCGAACCCAGGACCCCAAGAAGCCCTGCCTGGAGCTCCAGCTATTTGGCTACAAGGATCTCTGCCTTCCCTGAGCCCTACTTTGGGGCTGTTTGCTGGTGAGGGTCAGGGGTCTTCTAGACAGCCCCCCACTGTTCCTGGCGCAAATTATAATTAAATTAGTGCTAGCACTGATGGTTTTACCTAGTTTGGAAATGAGAGATGTAGGAAGAAAACCACCAAGCTGAGAGAGCACCCAGGACTCCACTCTCCTCCTCCTCCTCCTCCCCCCCTAGCACTGATGATGTTCCCTAGTTGGGTCATGAAATGTCTGCTAGAAAACCACCAGGCTCAGAGAGCAGCAAGGATCCCCCCCCCATCCTCCTCCTCCTCCACTCTCCAAACCACACTCCCTTCTAGCTCTGATGATATTACCTAGTTTGGTAACGAGACGTCTGCAAGAAAACCACCAAGGTTTTCAGAGAGCACCAAGGACCCCACCGTTTTTTACATTTGAAGTCTGGTGTGTGTGTGTGTGTGAGAGAGAGAGAGAGAGAGAGAGAGAAAGAGGAGAGAGAGAGAGAAGAGAGGAGAGAGAGAAGAGAGAGAAGAGAGAGAGAGAGAGAGAGGAGAGAGAGAGAAGAGAGAGAAAGAGAGAGAGGAGAGAGAGAGAGAGAAGAGAGGAGAGAGAGAAGAGAAGAGAGAGAGAGGAGAGAAGAGAGAGGAGAGAGAGAGAGAAGAGAGAGAGGAGAGAAGAGAGAGAGAGGAGAGAGAGAGAGGAGGGAGAGAAGAGAGGAGAAGAGAGAAAGGGAAGAGAGAGAGAGAGGAGAGAGAGAGAAGACAGAAGAGAGAGAGGAGGAGAAAAAACAAAACAGAGAGAGGAGAGAGAGAGAAAGGGAAGAGAGAGAGATAGGAGAGAGAGAAGAGAAGAGAGAGAGAAGAGAGAGGAGAGGAGAGAAAACAAAACAGAGAGAGAAGAGAGAGAGAGAGATTTTTCTCACCTGAATAATAAGTTAAGTCCGAAGAGTGTGAACATGACAGCCATGTAGCCCACGATGCCTGTGGCGTAGCTGATTTTGTATATTAGGAGAAACCACTTGTACACCAGCCTAGTTGCAGGAAGGGAAACAGAGGCACAGAGGCCGCAATCAGGAGGCGTTTTCTGCTTCGGCCACCCTGAAGTTCTACAGCCAGAGTTTCATTCCACACAGCATTAACTTTGTGAACTCTCAAGCTTCCTCCTTCCGCTATCTATTCAAGATGGACAGTATTTAATATTGATTTGCTATGTACATGGAGGGGTGTGGGTCTATATACATATGTTGTTCATAGTATGTTTAGGTGTGTGTCACGTATGTGTTTCATTTTGAGAGCGGGTAACTAAATTTCATTTTTGATGCGTGCCGTTGGGCCCACGGTAAAAAAAAATGACAATAAAGTTTATCTTATCTTATCTAAAAATGGCCTCGTTATTTCAACTCTGGCTAAAGCTTTCCCCTTTAAAAGAAATCCATGGCATCACCTGAAAATCAAATGTATCCCAAAACAGCTATATAAACATCCCGTGAAAAGGAACACACACTGTTTGCCACTTGCCAGCTAAAAAACAAACAAACATTCCAAAGGAAAAATGCCCCTTTTTCAGTAAACGCTGAAGTTGCAGAACGGCATTAAAAATCAACTCTAATCCCCAGTGTGAAGTTCAGGATCTTAGTCTCCAAATCCGATGAAATAGATAAACCAACATTGTGGGTGTCACTGACTGGAGAGTTTCTCAAACTGGGAACACAACGGGGACCCGATTTTCCATCGGTAAGCAAGACAGTTACGAGCCCTGGTTAAGATGAATCTCCTGGTCGTTAAGCCATGATGGCTTCCCCGCTGGGATTGTCAAAAGTCTGACTGGGAAGGTCACAAACGGGATGACGTGCCCCCAGGACAAGGCACCGGTCATAAATTCATGCCACTTGCCAAGCGCCCAAACTGGGGGCGTTCCCACGACCCTGGGGATGCCGCAACAACTTGCCGAAAGTCCCTTTATTCAGGACTGTCGTAACTTTGAATGTCGTAACTGGGGGACTAGCTCCCTTGGTACCCACAAGGCTTCCTGGTTCCAGATGCGGAGATCCTGCCATGTGGCCGTTTCTGTCCGACCAGCCACGCTTCCGACGGCCGCAAGGGAGA